GCATAGCAGTTCTTAACCTATGTATTCAACAGTCGACGGTTGTCTTCTGAACATATCTGAAGAAAACCAGCGTCTCCAACTCCCGAAAGCAATTAAACGAAGCACCCTCCCACTTGAAGAACAAGGGAAAGTCTTCAAGAATACCGTCTCCTGCGATCTGACGTCATGTAATCGGTAGAAGTTTGCCGACTGTCTCCAGCTTTGCGGTCGAAGAATGAGCCAAGCAAGCGCAGTGCTCTCCTTGCTGTTCTTTTCCTTGGCATATTCTTCGACCTAGAAGATGGAAGGATAAAATTCCTTCGAAGTTTAGGAAAATTTCTGCCGGAATATGTAGTATCACATTCCCGAATGTAATACACGTTATAGTCACCGCTGTAAAACCTCAGATGTCACAAGGGAAAATCTTGATCGCGTTAGAGTGCGTTAAAACCAGGTTAATTTTGTTATTTTAATGATGGATTTGTTAAAATACAACTGTGAAGCATATATTAAAGAAGTTATATAGCCCCTGTATTTAATTTTCCCTTGGTGTGTTTAATAACGGCTGGTAATATAGCTTCAATATCGATTGTTTATTCATACAGTGTATAGTTTTGACTTCTCGCCACATTGAGTATCAAGTGTGGTCCGTCTACTGCGCGAACCAGTTGTACCTGGCATGCGCAACCTTGCGAAAGGGAAGTTCTATGTAGGTATCTCTTAATTTCCGGCCGGCTTTTGAATACCGGAAATATTGTAATGTGGACGGCCAGAGCGTTGTTAGATAACGGACCGGTAAACACCCCGCGACCGAATGCACACAAGGCAACAAAAGGAAGATGCGTCTATTGGAAGGAATGCTATTGCGCGTTGCTAGGCAACAGAGCACCGATGAAGACCCTGGCTATGAATCACGTGACTTCTTTTCTGTGTGCTCTTCCTTATGCAACAGTAGAACTGGAGTTTCTCTGCTTGGTCCGTGCGGAGGCTACGTAACGAGTATCTGTTATAGTTCAGACTAGACCCGTCCTCTCGCCAGATAGGGCACCCAACAATAACAAGACCGTAACTCTCAAACAGTAATAAATATCTGGTCATGAGCCCCAGATGGGGCTCGACACCAAGACTGTCTGACTGACTGACCGTCAGTCGCAATGTGACTTTGACTCAATCCCCGTGTGGAGGCGGGGTCGAATATCTCCACCGTGACCCTGCGAGTCGTAGGAGGCGACGAAAAGGAAAGTCTCAAATCTGAGATAGTAAAATATGGTCGCGCGTCCCAAGGAACTCGGACCCGTGAAAGACTGCGCTGGCGAGGGCCAGCAGCATATACAAAAGACAGGTCCGTCTTCTCGTGAGAGGGCGCCCAATAAAAACAGGACCGTAACTGTCAAACAGTAATAACTATCTGGTCACCAAGACCTACTGACTGACTGACTGACCGACCGACCGACCGTCAGTAGCAATGTGAATTTGACTTTGACCTAGACTAGATTGAGAGTGTAGTGTGCTGAGTGCATATAAGAGAAGTGAATGCAGTGACAGTTCAGTTAGTCCTCGATAGGAGACAGCCACGGGAAGTTCCTAGAAGGCCTGTGAAGATTTAAACTATGATTCAGTGAGACTGTTGGAGTTCTTGTGTTTTAGTTGCGTTGCCAGGAGACGACTAGCGAAGACGGCGAATCCTAGCGCGTGTGCAACGGTGAACTGTAAATTGTGTAAATCAGCGATAGCGCTGTATTGACCGTAATTAAGGGAATTTGTAACCAAGGTGCTAATAAATCCAATCATCCGAACTGGAACCCGTCATTTTCTGCACGTGTACCACCCTACACGTGACAGTATGTTGAGAACAGTAACTCTCTAATGACGTAACGACGTACGTCACTAACTGCCGATGACGCACCCTTGTCTCCATAGTAGGAGTGCAACAGTCAACTGTTGCTTGTGACTTTAATGTTTGTTTGTCACAAGCGACACTCTCTGTTGTGTAGTGGTCAAAGTTCCTGCCTACAGATCCAGAGGTTCGATTCCCGGCGTTACCAGATTTTCTGAGAGGTAGTGGGTGTGGAGTGGGGCCACTCAGCCTCATGAGGATAATTGAGGAGCTGTTTGAATGGAAAAGTAGCGGCTCCGGTCGAGAAAACCGAGATTAATGACCGTGGGAATCCGTTGCACTGACCATGCGACACCCTCTGCCCACAAAAGTTGACACTAACTTCGCCGACAAGTGGCGGTCGCTTTTTCGGTATAGTTCGCTTGCGGGCTAAAACCGACGAAATTTTTGTTACAAGCGAAGAGTTTGACGTAGTCGTAATTGTTCAGTTTATCTACGGAATTACAGAACGTCGCATTACCTACATTTTCGCGTGCTGTTCGGAATTCCTACTGCGGAACGCGGCTGTGAATTGCAAACTGTATACTTGGTTTTACAAGCCAAGCTTTTTGAGACGCAACAGTGAAAACTGAGAGTTACCGTATAAAAGTACAAACAAAGGAATTCGTTCTGTTTTATATTGAGAACTCGGCATGGAAAGGTTAGTATAATCACAGTTTTTATGTACCGTACGTATAATTGAGTTTATTTTGCGGTGGTTCGGTGTTGCGATACCGTTGATCGTAAATAAACGCCATTCCTGCGATCTGTATGAGTTAGAATCATGTGGATAGCAGCATGCTAAAACAATGCTTATTGATGTGAGCTGAACATATATTCCGCATTTCAAACCCTCACAATTACATATAGGTCGCGTTTTTATAAAGAGTAAAACAAACACCAGTCATAATATCTGCTTGCAGCTTGTATACGTCCTTTGCATGAAGTACATAAAATGGGCGCATAATAGGATGAATAGTTTAGTAATTAACTGAAGAACAGAACACTGGTAGGCTGTTCTGCAAGACAGTGCAGCGGCATTGCCCACCGAGATCAGTGCGGGCTCTATGGATAAATTTCAGTGAACTAACAACTGGTAGAAGACTATGGCCGTCAGTTTTCCTACCTTTGAACCCCGTGTGACTTATCTGTGGGGAAATTTAAATTTGAAAATCTACAGAAATAATACACGCACTTTGAAAACTTTGCTGGCCGAAACTGGAATGTTATTAAATATGGAGTGTGAACTCCACGTGCCACAGAATTTGTTACTTCGGTGTGAAATGTGCGTGGATGTTGGACACCATTCCATTATCTGCTGTAATGTCAGGAATGTGAAATGACTAAGAAAAGATGGAAGTTCAAATGGATCATGGGGCAGCGTGTGCTTTTCTTGTGCGAGAGACCTCGGTGGCGACCGGTGTCGCCGAGTGAAGCAGAGGACAAAAGACTGTTGATGGAATAAGCGTTAATGACACTGGATTTGACCTACATTATAGGATCTTCGAGATATCGATGAAGAATCACAAATAACATTTCTGGAAAATTTTTGTTCTGTGAGTTCTTATTTTCGAATAGGCCAACAGATTTCCGAACTTCTTCCACCCGTCTGGAATTACACTTGCACCCTCATAAGAACACCGCCTTATGTATTTGTTATACTGCTGGTTCGGTTGCAGTAGTTTGAGGCGTTTGTTGCTCGAAGCGAAAAAAAGTCTTGTGATGCGAACATCTGAAAGCTTCCCGCAAGTCATAAACACGGCTATTATTTTTGGTGCTGTCCATTGTCTTAAGTTTTTTTTTATACCAAGCATTTCGAAAATTAGATCTTTTTCTGTCATGAAATGTAAGGGAACAAAGTTTCCTACTTAGTTGGGCCCGTTAGAAACATCACAGGGCGAGATCGGTTGATGTCAACTGATTGTACCTTGAATTTTGTCGCATCCACGAACAGAAATAGAGAACTAAAGGTGGGAATGAATAAGTAATGTAGTAACTGTTAGAAAAAGTCATGTTACATTGTTTTGTTCATTCAGATACATCGTGTGCTGCTAACAAACTTGATTTGGATTCCTTTCAGAACGCCATCTGATGGAAAGTCAGTTGAAGAGATGAAGCTCTCCACAGCTGATCGCTCAAGTTGCTTTCTTAGTAATATTCGTAAATTTTGTAAAGAAGGAAATTAGTATTTTAGGCACTGTTTCTTCTTAGTGTGGTGAAGTCAATGAAGGAAAGGGACGTCAAAGCAAATGTTGCTATTAGATCAAAGGACTTGATAATATCAAACCCGATTCATCATCATTTGTAACACGTTACATACTGAGGGCTGAGAGATCCCCAAATTCAACACTGGAGAGAGAAATAAGGAGGAAGTGTTCATTACCTATCTTTCATATTATTCTTGCACTTTATGTGGCTGGGGAACAGAAGAAAACCATCAAAAGACCTCAGTCGATTCCAACTGCCCAGGTACAGCTTGCATGCACTGTGACAGAGCTCATCTGCTTGGATTGAGGGCTATGTAAGGATGTTTTGATGACAAGGAAGCATTTGCAAATTATGCAGTCTGGCTAGAAGTGAACTGTAGTACAGTTGCTGTGCAATGATTGCGAGAAGGAAAATGCGTTACTTGGTAGTGGCCGGTAAACACGTCAATGATATCTGGGCTGTTGCTAGGAAATCACCCATAGAAACAATAGAAAAACTGTTAGAGGCGGTGTTTTCTGTTCAGTCTGCCCTGGGGCTGTATAGTGAGGACCCCAGGCTGGTTTAGTGAGTCAGTTGAGAGTTGGCAGTGCAGTTGAACTCTGCAAAGGAGGCCAAGAAAATATGGTGCTGTTTTTTTTTCTTTTGATAGTTGACAAGAGTTCTACACTGGTGACTATAACAAGAGGATCTGAACGTGGGAAGCTGAAGAATCTCCACTATTAGGTTTTGCTAGGGAACAGCTGATGAAGACAGCTGGCTGGAAAAAGGTTTAGTGGGTGCTGTGGTGATTTGTAAAGTATGGAGATTGGTGATAGCACTGTAATTGCAGTTCCAAATGGTGTGTGTGAGCAGTCAATAAATCTATTTACCGATCCATACCCCATATGTAGTCACTCTAACACGTGAAAATATATTCAGGTTTTCTTTGTGTTTACAGTTGGGTCTGAAAGCCAGTCTTGTAGAGAAGAGCCCTGTTTCTTCCCAGAATATGGATGGAATCACTGACCAATTCCAGTGCCTCCAGTTACAGAGGTGAGGGGCTGGAGCTCAACAGAAGTCAGTTTGATCTGCCTCTAAGTTATTTATTTTTAATTTGTTCCTTTTTGTACATTGAGTGCAAATATTTTTGTAACTATAAGCACATCTGGTTGTACGTGTATGCATTCTTTTAGTAAATGTTATGTATGAGAATTACAAAATTCCTGTGTGCACCAGATTACAGATTGTTTGGTTCAGTAACATGCATGTATGTTCTTATGACAGCAGGAGTCTAGAATGTTTCTGAAAACTGCCTCGCTTTATTTTTTCCCTGCACTTTAAGCACCCCTGATATTTTTGGAAGACCTTTTGACTTTGCTAAGCTAACGATTTATAACACTGTATACTCTGTATAGTGACTCTGCAGTAGCAGTGAAGAAACCTTTCTCATAACTCAGTTGATATAGGAACTAGGCTACAGCTAATGACCAAGGAATCCGGGTTTGATTGCTGCTGCTCTTCTACACATCACCGAGATTGGTTCTGGAGTTCACAAAGCCCCCTAGTTAAAGAGTTTGGGGGGAGGGGGGCTGGCTGGCCTGTGCTGAGTTGTTGGGATATGAAGCTGATCACCTCCAACTATTGCAGAGGACAAAAATTCATGTAGCTGTATCTCCACTCCGCATACGTCTTCATGGCATTTTTATTAATTAGGCACAGTGGCAACTTTACCTTAACCTCTATAATGTGTAGCGTGAAAAATTGCGATCTTGCAACTCTGGTTACACCGTATAGTCTTCTCTTTTCCATTCTGTTGTATGATGGCAGAAATCTGCAGCGAAATGAGAACGCAAACATAGCACCCTGACAATGGTTTTATTTTCATTTTTCATGCAAGTTGGGGACATACTCTTAGATGTCAACAAAAATGTATGCAGAGGGACACAGTTTTAGTTAGTTTTCTGAATTGTGTCAGTTATCTCACTGCGCTCTCACCTTGCAGGCATGAAATATATAATTCTGCTTTTGAAGATGTTGTTTGTTTGGTTAAATAAATTACTGTAGTTTGTAAGTAAGAAACTTTCAGCTTTCAACTTAGTCTTAACTGGTGACTGAAGTATAGAACTTAACTGTTGCAGGGAGAAGACAAAGCCAAGCATCGATGAAGTGCCTGGATCAAAAGGTCAGTGAATGTGAAATTAGTTTATGTGCTCTAATTCCTTTGGTGCATGACATGATAATTCAATCTTGACTGGATGCCCAGAGTTCAGTTACTTGTAACACTCTTGTGATTTCCTCTTCACATCCGAGTAGTACGTACAAGCGTGAAGAATGCCTCTACACTCTTACCTGAAGTGGAAGAAGATACATAATTGTGCGTTATCAGGTGTCAGTTATTGTGACTGAGATTTGAATCTTGATGAGAACATCAGTTATTGAGGTTGAAGTTTTTGCAGTGTTCCTGATCCTCCTTCAGGTGAATATCAGGATAGTACCTTGAAGCAGGTTACGGTTATTTCTTTACTAGTCTTTTCTGAAGAAAGCAGTCTTCTGGGATTTGGCACCGTGTATATGTGGTGTTAACCGACGTTTCGGAGGAATGTATCGCCTCCATCTTCAGGGTAGAAGAAAAAATATAAGAAATCTGCAAGCAAAGAGACCGTGAGAACCGGTAAAAGCAGACTGTGTGGAAATATACACAGCTATGTGAGAGCAGAGAGGGAGAAGGGGGGGAAGGGCAAGTCTGCTTTTACCGGTTCTCACGGTCTCTTTGCTTGCAGATTTCTTATATTTTTTCTTCTACCCTGAAGATGGAGGCGATACATTCCTCCGAAACGTCGGTTAACACCACATATACACGGTGCCAAATCCCAGAAGACTGCTTTCTTCATAGTCACCGCCGCGAAAGCCTCAAATCTTACATAGTCTTTTCTGGTTTGTTATGTGTAATCATCCTCTCAGCTGACTTGACTTTAAACAACTTCTGCACTTCATACATAATCTACCTTAATAGAGTATGTCATAATGAGTGGGGAAAGTCTGCTATTTGAAGATGCTATCAAGCAGCGGCTAGTGCAGATGTGACTGTGGACCATATTATATGCTTGTAACATAGAGCCTCAACCAGCTACACTGCTGCGTGCCCCCAAAATGGAAGGTATGATTATGAACTTAAGCTTATGATCAGAAAGGTGTGTTTGATTATTCAGTGACTTTTGTACAGCATATGATGACTGAAATAAGCAATCTTCTCATTCAGCAGTTTTTGAGGAATAGTTTTAGGATTATATTCCTCTTCCTAATTGTAGTAACAAGTTGGTAAAAGCATTCAAAGACCTAAAGTGTTTAATGCTATTCCAGAACACCATATTTATGTCAACAGGCTCTTATCAGCCGTTTCATATAAACTCAAGATGCAAAAATCATATGAAGGGGGACCTAGTATATGCATAAAACTGTCAAACATTGAACCTGAAATTTAGAGCATAATATCAACAAACGTGACATGAGTCATCTCACTCGTGACTTCATGTGAGAGTTTTGATGGACAGAGTGGCTATGGATCAGGTTTCTCTTAGAATTCTTTTCAATTTTTCTGTCTTAATTATCATCCTAAAATTGCTTAATACTTGAATATAACCATATCCTGATATGTACTATATTCCTGACATGGCTTTTTGAAAAATTACTTTGCATTTTGGCTTCATCTCTGACTCATAGTAAGGAACTTGTAGTTCTTTTTAATACTCAAAATACTAACAGATTATGAAACTTCAGCACTTTTTTTGTGGTGGGGTGATAAATCGATAGTAGTGTTTTGCAATTGTTTAATGTTGTGTGTTTGTGTATTCTTGTGAAGAGAACTCATCCTTAAAATATTGGTTGGCTGGTTTCCAGTGGCTGCATTTATGATCATTTAACCCATTTTGCTTCTTGCTTCCCAATAGAGAGCACTCAAGTTCTTGCTTTCATCCTTAAAATGTATTTATCAACATTTTGTTATTAATATTTCTAGTTAGTGACTTATGGTTTAGAAGATTGATTTTTATGAACATATTGTAACGTGTTTCATTACTGGATACGCCGTAGAGATCGTTAATTGGTTTACTGAACAATCTACAAATATCGGCTACAATTAATTATAACACAGTTGCGGGTTTCCACACTTTACAAACCCTACAACCAAAATCTTCACGTACTAATAACGCGGGAGCTATACAAATCTCCCTGAATTACACACTCCAGATATAACTGTACTACAGCACTCACTAAGTCTCGAAAGCACACAATAAGTCTTCCGCTCGATGACTCCTTAGTTATTGCACACCCGCAGGCTGCTACCTTGAGAACTGTTGATAACACACTCGGCGACTGTCACATTACAACTGCTCGTAGCTGCTGTGCAGTTCCCTTATATAGCCGCAGTGGTGCCTGTTGTGTGCCACGTCACAGGAGTTGTTGACTGATGCCTAGCAACCGCGATATCCCTTGACTCGCGTTGCATAGCTACCAGGTTGCGGGGGCTCGGCTAACTTCGGCTCCGCTTGGCACATCACCGCGGGGAGAGTGGCGGGGTGATGACTCACCTATTACGCGAGCGCTACGTTACCGCCACGTGCCGCTGGGGAGGTAGGGGTCCTCCGTTGCGCAACATGTCACAGTATTTTCACGTGTAGAGTGATACACGTGGTAAGAATGATGGGTTCTAGTTCGGATGATTGGATTTATTAGCACTTCAGTTACACACTCTTTCTTAATTACACTTAAATACAGGCTACAGTACTGTCGCTGATTTACACACTTTCCAGTTCACCATTGCACATGCACTTGGATTCTCTTTCCACTAGTCGTCTCCTAGCAACGGATCTCAACACAGAAACTAGCACTTCAAATCACTATGAAGTCTTCTTATTATTTCATCTTCAATCACTCTGCACTTCACTGTCCTAATCTGTACACAGTTAATCTTCACAATTTACCAAGGACGCACTCCATTCTTGTCCTTGTACTCTCAGCTGTACTCCTGGATTCTCCACTTCGCTCTGTTCACGATATTCTGCCGCTACTATTGCTCTCTATGGTGAACTCAGAACTCCATACTTAGAACTCTGTCACTCACTTACACAGCCGAGGAACCAACACCGACCAACAATAAACACATATCACGTGACCGCTACTCACTGTTGCTGAGTGACGTCACCATACATCCACAAGCTGACAGACACGCAGAAAACATGTCACGTGACGGCCACAAATTGTTGATGCGTGATGTCAACGATCCTACGCCAGTTGCTAGACACATGGAAAACACTGCTTGCTCTACTGTTGTGGCCACAGAGCTGTTGCCTGGCAATGCGTTGATCAAATACACCATAATATATTAATGAATCTCCCTCTTACTAGTTTAGTTATTTCTTTCGGTACAGAGTACTGGAAAGAAACACTCTTTTCATTTCCATTTTTCTGTCCAGTGTACAGTTTTGGGATACAGATTCGGAGATTATGCTTCATGCTACCCTATTCACTGCACAGTGAGGAGTTAGGTTTCATGATTCTAGCGCTGATGGTGTCAATGTTGTCTGCTCCAGATAACCAGGCTGAGCAGTTGTGTGCCTTGGAGCTGGAGAACTTGAAGTTGAGGCATGGCCTGGAGGAAGCAGTGGCGAGGAGCAAGGAAAAGGAATCTCATGCCCTGCAGTAAGTGTTTCGTAACTTGCACTTCATTGAATATTCCTGTGCTATTGTGACACGCCATCTGAAAGCTGGAGTAGTGGAGGTGACTGTTGCTAAGCAATTGCATGCTAAACCTGTTTCCACAGCAGCAAATAAACACGCAACACTAGAGGACACGGTGTGTTCTATGTGGTCCATACCAAGGCTACATAACTAGGACCAGCAGCAGTTGGTCTTGAGTTACACATACCTAGAAACAACTAGTGAACAAGCAGAAGACTTTTATGTGTGCTATAGGTGTAATGGTTTGTAGAGTATAAATTAGTGATAGTGTTACAATCATTTGCAGTCGTGTCAGCATAACCTCAGTCCTGGAGTCAATAATAACAGCAGGATAAGCACACAGATTTATGACGTGGGAGCAGTTCACGTGAAATAATGTTATGAGTACGAGTATGAAGGGTGAGCCATAAAACTGGCCCTAGCACTGTGACCATCAGTGGTCTATTGTGCTTGAAATAATGTTAAATCAACTGTGTTAATAAGCTTAGATATACTTAACTATGGTTAACTAAACTATTTCTTATGGGACTGAGGCTTAAGTGTGACTCAACTTGCTAACAGAGCTTGGCAACATTACCTATTCATAAGGTGAGGATGAAATGATTTTGGTTTCCAGTTTGAAAGTGCTAACTAATAAGCCATTGGAGCTATGCATGCAAATTTGGTTGATCACAAGCATACATACAAATTATGTATGCAATGTTGTTTATCAATCAACAATCACAAGCTTGGCAGCAGTGTAAAATTTCAAGGTTCTGTCTGGCAAGTTTATTGTAGCAAGAAGCTGACCTTATGTAACAAGCTATTTTCCCCCAAAAGTACTAATGCTGCCATTGTCACCATGACCACTGCCATCACCACCGTAGTACAGAGCAAGCAAGCAAGCAGGTTTGCTCAAGTGGTAATGCTTCTGTCTTGGTATTTCAGAGATGCCTGGTTCAGGTATGTGTCAGGACATTGACTATCCTGACTGTGATATTTAAGGTGTTATTAACTTTGCAGTGATAGATAAGATCTAAAAGTTTGTGATGATGGTACGTTAATATAAATACAATATTATGTTTTTGCTCATTATCCCTCGTCTTGTCTTTATCTGAAAACCATCCTGTTTATTTTTCAAAACACAATGTTTCGGAGACTGGTTTCTGTCTTCGTCTTCAGGTAAAACCTACTCAGTTGGGCCCAATCGATAGAGCTGGTTCCCTATCTCTGGAGTGCATGATAGATTTATATATGCAGCAGATAAACATCAAGGACAGTGAGGTATACAGAAAAGCTAATTATATATATTTTTAAATGTGCACATACATGCTGTCAAGATTACTGTCTTTCAGAGGAATGTGATGTAGAACATGAAGCAGTAAATTCTCTGCAGTTCACAGAGATGTGTCACACTACATGGTGTCACATCCTAGAAGACTAATCTCCATAGGCACCCTTTTGAGAACCTCAGATTTCACATAAATTGCAAGTTATGAAATGAAAGTGTTTACTTGACCAATTTTGCATATACATAGGTACAAGTTAATCATGTATCAGTTAAGGATTTGTAATAGTTCATAGGCTTCCCAGTATGCACTTAATTTTATAATGTTAACATTTTGCTTGATATATTTAGGTTAAACAGCTGGAGGACTATGTTATAAAGACTATAAGTTCGTGTGACCTACAGGTTGGAGCACTTAGTGGATGTGTTGAGAAGGAAGATCAATGGTGTTTCAGTAGATGATAAGCCAGCAAGCTCAGAGCAGAGCCCCAGTGAGTCCCTGGTGAGTACTGCCAGCTCATCCTCCACCACTCACTCGCCGCATGTCACCATGTCTGGTCCAGTGACTGATCTTTGATTCTGCAATTGCAGTTTGTAGGTGGGTTGGCTCTGTATGCAGTTGTATATTAATAAGTGAAGAGTGTCAAGGAGAATAGCAGCTTATCATAATCACCAAGGCACTTAGAAGAGAATCTTCCAGTACTGTTATCAGCATTACAGCTTTCACTGGCTTCTCTCGTCTGTTACAGTGCGAAAATAATTATTTTTTTGGTAGAATTAAATTTGTCTGTTTAAGACAGTGTACTCCAGATTATCTGTGCTAATGAAGGAGGAAAGATGCACAAATAATTTAAAAAGCATCTAAAATACCCCATTTAAATTTTGAAAGGTGTGCATGGCTCTCAAGAACTGTAGGACTTACGGAAGAAGTGTATGCAACATGAGCCGATCGCAGTGGCCGCACAATCTGTGCCATGAACTGTCGTCACTCGCTCAAATACTGGGATTGTGGGTTTGAATCCCACTTGAGGCATGGATGTCTGTGTGCATTTATTCTGTGTTTGTGCTGTCCTATGTGCCTTGCGATGGGCTGATCCCTCATCCAAGGAGTGCTCCTGACTGTGTAAAAAGATAAAGAAACCGAGAAAGTGGCCAAGGCCCAACAAAGGGCTGTAGACCCAGAGATAGATAGGTATTGAACATAAAATATATGCTTAATTTCAGCCTGGTCTACATACAGTTTTCCGTCAATAATGCAACTATTTATGTCTTCATTTACATTTGCTTTCGCTATTAACACAACATGTTTTGGCCCCAAACGGCCATCCTCAGATGTCCCATTATGCTAAACCTGCTACACTGCACTGCGTGTTGTTCATTCAACACACACTTAACTAAACATTTTGTAATTAAAATGTTACAGTTGCACTCAACTGTTGTGTGTTAAAATCTTACAGTTAACTCAATTTAAAATCGATTAGAAATCATTACATTTTTTAATTAAATAAAACTCCTAATTCCATCTCATAAGGGGCATCGTCCACTTGTCTAAGCAATATACTCTTCTTCGGTTGCTTACATTGCAGTGGCTCACCCTTTCCATATGCAAGCCTGTTGTTATGTTTTGTCTGCAGTATTGCCCCTTGCTTGTTCGTTGTTCCACAGGTCTGCACACGCAAAGACACCACACGTGGCTTGTGGGAACAATGGACAAGCAAATAACAAATAAATAAAATGGAAAAGCAGTCTCTAGGCATTGGACAGAACAAATTTGTAAGGCCTCATTTACTGTGTCAGTTCACGAGAAAAGAAAGGAATAAATCAAGGTTGTTTGTGCTGTGAGTAATTAAGAAAATTCCTATGTTTCTCTATGTCAGTGCCTATATCATTGTATGGTGCTTCAGTTCTGTCTGATGTCTTACAGAGAAGTGTTGCGCAGTAGGACTGGATTTATGAACTGCAGAGTACAATGTTTCTACATGTTTCCGTCCAGTGAAAAAGAGAAAGAAGTGTTTCAAAAACAAACAGAAGTAGAAGATGGGGGGGGGCTTAGGTCTTAACTGTGTAACTGAAAATAGATTTGAGGTTATGCTTGAAGTTAAACTAATGATACTTAGTCTTTTGGGTGCTGCACTCCCTGACTAATTTAAACCCACAACAGATTTAAGATTATAATGGAAATTAAATTAGTGATGCTGTAATCATTCAAGTGCTGCACTTCCAACTCATTTCAACTCAAAACAAATTTAAGATTATGCTTAAAATTAGATTAGTGGTGCCTTAATTCTTGGAGTGCCGCACATCCGAACTCAGTTTGACTCAGAACAGATTTAAGAGTTTACTTGAAGTTAAATTAATGATGCCTTTATCCTTCAAGTGCTACATGTCCCAACTCGTCTTAACTAAAAACAAATTTAAGATTATACTTGAAATTGAAGCAGTGAAGCCTTAGCCCTTCATATGCTGCACTCCCCAACTTGCTAGAACTCAAATCAAATTTAAGATTATTCTAAACTGGGGTGATACTATTAAATCCTAAAAGTACCATACTTCACTGTTCCTTCATTTTATTAATGCTGTCAGTAAAGGATCAATTAAACCAAACTTAATGTTTTCACTTGATGAAACTACTGTTCTGGTAGTGGTAAGATGACTCTCATAATTTGAGAATTACTTTGCATTGGACATTTTTTTTTGTTTTGGATAGTTGATGACCCTCTGGCCTCATTTCTGCCAGCATGTTTGAAATTATGATATTGTTGATGAATCTCAACTGTAATTTCATACAGTATATTTAAACTGCTCTTGGGATGACAGGAATGAGCCTCTGAAGGGTGTCCAGGAAAATTTTTCAACTTCACTGTGATTTATTTCTTTTCCTCTCTTCTGTTTTTGATCTGCTGGAAAACCCCACTCTCTCTGTTCCATTCATAGCTTAAGGGAGCGCTGATATAAAATGAATATAAATTGCTTGAGAATAAACATTTTAATTGATCAGCTCTGAAGGAAGATAAATAATTGTTTAGCAATATTTTAACACTTAAGTGTTGAGAACCCCATAATTTTAATTTTGTTATATTGCATAAAATTCTGATCTATAAGACTATAATCATACCTATTTGGACGTACGGCCTGGAATTATGTGGCTGCACCAGCAAATCTACTGTAGCAATAAAAGTAAATCTAAGATCATACGAATGATAGTCGACGCACCAAGGTATGTCTCCAACGCAACACTCCACACCGATCTCGGTATATCTTCCGTACAAGACCTCATCCAACAAAAAAGCAACAGACATCAACAAAATCATAACTCATAAAAACCCACTCCTAAAGACACTATCGACAAGAGAAGACTCAAACGAAACTGGCCAATGGACCTGATTTGAATTACTGAGGTTTCGCCACTGGACGCCTCCTCATCATGTCATCTAAACAGCCATAACATTAGCTTATAGAATGTACATTCTGATTGCTGATTAAACAAATAAATAAAAAATAAAATAAAATGTTATATTGGAAACTGCAGCATTGCTGTAATTCAAATATTAATTATACTCATATTGATGTCAATTCAAACAAAAAGTGCCATGCGCATATTGTAAATATGCAAATATTTGAGTGAAATAAAGATTATGGTGTTCTGGGATGTAATGCTGTGACGACTGCTATGTGGCTATCAGAGTTTCAGGAGAGCCTATTGTTGCTATCTTTCTCAACCCTTGAGATATTAAAAACATGGAGACCTAATTACCAGTGTCACATCCCAGAAGACCATAATCTTAATTTTCCTTGCCGCTAATACCTCATATCTCATGGGATAAAATAGCTACTGGAATTGCAGTAATCTTCAATCATGAAACATTGACATTTCCTGCCATGGTTTTTACCTCTGTCTCAAAATGGCAGATGAGGCAGGTATGGAGGGTTGGTGCATGCAGTGGTTGCCCATGTTGCTCATATAATTGATCTTTTTTGGCCATGACATTGTTAACAATAATAAGAATGAGTTATGTAGAAGGAAAGGTGGAGAGGTAGGGTGTTTTAACTTAACAATTTCATTTTATTTTTATACTGATGGTGTATATTATTGAATCACATTCATGCCACATGTTTATGGTTAGTATATAAACATTACTTTTAGTGTACATGTTGTCTTTCTCCTAAATTGTAATTGTTTATGTAATACAAATTAGCAGTGTGGAAACAGTTTACAGTTTGTATTCTAAATATCTGTGCAACATATTCAGTGATACTTTTGCTTCTGATCAGAAAACCTGGTGCTGTTATGTAATGCACATCAAGAATTGATTCCTCAAAGCTGGAACTGAAATTTATGAAGGTTTTATGGTAGTGTGAGTGTTATGCCCAAAAGGGACAAGCTACCAAACCAGCATGAAAATAATTTTTATTGCCATGGAATATTTAGCAATTCATTATGGAGTTTTGGTATAAATCTGTATAGATGATTTGGTTTGTCTTTGTTTGCCACAAGTTCCTAGAGATGGAACAACAACACTTTTACACCAAGCTGTTCAGTTGGCAATATCTGTTCAAAGAAAGTCAGTATAACATTTTGATGACTGATTGTCCATCTTTTGCGCTGGAAGAGTGCACTTACTCAAGTGGTAGGAACTGTCATTGCAGTGATTGTGTTAAATTATTGAGTAATTATTGGGAAGTTAATAATTTGTGAATGAGGTATTAAATTTTGAATAACATTTGAAGTTCACCATTGTTTCGGACATGATTCTAGCAGCTCATTTATGGCCAGATTGTAAGATCTGGTACTACACGTTTCCAGTCATTTTGTATAGTGTCCTGGATCTGAAAGCCAATGGAAAATTTGATTTGAGATTTCATTGAAAGATACTTCTGAAGAGTTCATTTTACAAAGGCTGATGCCTGAATTTAGCAGGCAGTAAAGTGAAATAGATGTAGAATTGTATGTACAGGCAGTACTTCATAATTGGGAGCTTAGTGTGAGGATTTGACGAAGGATAGATCTTGCTTTCATTGGGTTAAAACAGTGAAAGTACTGTGCTGAAAAATTGACTGTCTTTATTTACTTCATACATATTGCCAAGATAATTTGTGAAAGATTTACGTCTTCACATGAAGATCAAAATTTTCTAATGGTCATATTTCTCTCAGCCAGAAGACGTCTTTTTTTTTATCCATGTTTGTTTCCCGCATGTGAGGCACAGTCTGACCTTGTATGTAGTTTGATGAGATATAATGTGAATCTCCAAATTCTCATCTTTTTAAATAATTTGGCTTTCAGGATGATGCAGAAATTCTGTATGTAAATACTGCTGAGCACTCTGTGGCCTTTTCATTGAAAATGTCATAGAAATGTATATGACTTACATTATGTTTGTCAGATTTATGGCTTTTCATGCAATATTTAACATATTTTTACATATGAAAACCTTAATGCACGAAGACATCTGTTTCACTGATTGTTTCAAATTACAACTTTAGCCTTACATTTTACATGAATACTTCATCTCAAATATAATAAAAATGTATTTATTATATCATTATTTATATTATTATATTCACCGCCGTGAAAGCCTCAAATCTTAGGTATTTATGAAAAGCCTACATAATATATTGTTACAGATAGATCAGCAGTTTATTTTATGCTGTGTACTGCATAAGGAATACAATTAATTTTTAAGGCTGCTTTTAATTGTTGTGTTTAATATTTTCCCAAACATCATATTTAAATATGATGCAAGAAACGTTTATGTCAATAGTAATGTCACAAATGAAACTTCATTAACAGCTCTCAAGGACAGAATTTCATTTTGTCTGTATGTTTTTTCTGTGTGTCTTGATGTGTCTATTGGAGTACAAATAGATTCAACTATGAAGTAAAATAGTTGTTAGTGTGTTGCTCATTACGTGATTTGATTATTTCTTTTATTTTGAATTGTAATCATGCCTTATACTTTATGATAGATATCTCCAATGATAAACGTTCCCTTGCATAACAGGTAAGGAAAGGGGATAACTGTGACGTTTTTCTAATTTTTGTAATTTGTTATTACTTCATTCTGTCTTTCT